GGTTTTATATAAACAAAAATAAAAGTAATTCCCAAGAGGGATATCGGATATAGGCTCCGGAACATGGCGATATCCTCATCAGGCAAGTCTTGAGGCTCGGCCGCGCAAAAAATCGCCGGTTGGCAAGCTGCGACAGCTTGAAAGAAATTCGGATGTTTGCAGCCGTACATGAGCGCACCGATACCCCCCATGCAAATACCTGTCAAGTAACGCCGCGACCGATGGCCTCCGCAGCAGTAGTTCTGCTCCACGAAGGGAATGAACTCCTCCATGAAGAATTTCTCCCACTGTTGACTGCCGTCGTGCCAATCGAAGAAGCCGTTTCCAGGACCCCCTGAGAATGATGCCCAAACAACATCACGTGAACCGACAATGTCGCGCCCCGTTCGGGCAGCACCTGCAGCAGGGTGGATTAGTTTTCTTGATTGGTTTAGTGCTTATTTTTCTTATGCATTGATTCTTATTTTCGTTGGAGGGGGGGGCGAGGTTGGGTATGATGACTGTTTTGCTATGTTTGGCCTCCTACTGCTACTGCTACTGCTACTGCTACTGCTACTGCTACTGCTACTGCTACTGCTACTGCTACTGCTACTGCTACTGCTACTGCTACTGCTACTGCTACTGCTACTGCTACTGCTACTGAGCTGCTAGTGCAATTGCTAGTGCCAGTGCGCTACTGCTACTGCTACTACTGCTACTGCTGCTGCTACTGCTACTACTGCTACTGCTGCTACTGCTGCTGCGACTGCTACTACTGCTACTGCTGCTGCTACTGCTAGTGCTGCTGCTACTTCTCCTACTACTACTACTACTACTACTACTACTACTACTACTACTCATCCTACTCCTACTCCTACTCCTACTCCTACTCCGACTGCGACTGCTACGTTTGTAGGCTGTTTGCTTCAGGAATTAAGTTCTTTTGGGGCTTAGTTAGGCCCCTGACGGTTTAGGGTTCCGGGACTTTCGGAGTTTAGGGAAAAGCAAAAAACTCAAGACAAACTTGGCTGCACTCAGGAGGGTAGCTATAAATTAAACTTTTAGCTGCCGTACTAAGAAACCCAATAAAATCCAAAAAAGGTAAGGATCTAAAGTTACGGTAAAGTACCACAAAGAAAATAAGCCCCCAAACCGCCCACCTGCGGGGTCAATGAGGTGGTCAGCACCCCGACCAGCTGGATGCAGGGAGATCATCAACGGATACGGCTCGGTGCGGTCTTTGCAGAAATTTTTGGGGAGAATGATGGAATACCTCTGTTGCTTTTAGTTTTGTAGAGAAATTATAGTATCCCAAAAAGTGTAAAGTGTACTCACTCAGCTACTAAGATACTCCACAGAGCCATGTGATATCAGTTTGGTTGCAAGCGAGCCGACCGCAGCGTTTGCAAAGATACCTGGGTCACGCGGCACGTAGAAGGCCAGGTGGTTTGGCTTCTCTCCATCAGGAACCTGCCATTGCCACTTGGCCTGTGCAGCTGGCATGCCGCTGACTGGTTTTTCAATTTTGCAGCATGGAGCGTGTGAGCCCTCAGCATGTGTCGGCTGATTCGCTTTCATCTGCAGAGACCCGGCTGCTGCAGCCCCAGCGAGCGAGCGCAAACCAACGCCGCGCCACATGGCGCCAACCGGACTGTGTTGAGTGTCTGAGCAAGCGAGAGAAATGATCCTTGAGCCAACCTGTCCACCCCAAGAGTTCACGGAAGAATGATAGCTTGCATACCCGAAACCCTAAGCCCAAAGCCCCCTAAACCCTAAGCCCCCTAAACCCTAAGCGCCCTAAACCCCAAGCCCCCTCAACCCTAAGCGCCCTAAACCCTAAGCCAAACCCTGAACCCTAGACCCTAGACCCTAAACCCTAAACCCTAAACCCTAAACCCTAAGCTCTAAAGATGCTTTTGCATCGAGCTTCGCCTGCCAGGTCAGGTCTGTGTAGAAGCTCTTATGTGGCCTCACGCGTGGTTGCGGTAACCAGGAATCAAGGGCGATCTGCTGTACTGCGTAATTGGAGCGTGTGCAGGGTGAGGCGAGCATGCAGAAACATGGGGGCTCGCGCACGCTTGCGGTTTTAGGGCTGGTTTGGGAGTTTAGGGTTTGGGTAGGTTTGCTGTGGAGCCAGAAAAGCAGCTGCTCTTGCTTAACAAGACGCCTTGGCTTGCTGGCTCAGGAAAGTTGCCAAGGTGCAGCTAAGTCTAGACCCTAAACCCTAAACCCTAAACCCTAAACCATAAACCCTAACAATGTCACTACCCTACAGGGCCCAAAAAACCGCCGAGCTTTGTAGCTCCTAACATGTGTTTGATGGGAAGGTAGGCTTGGGTTGAGGGTTGAGGGTTTAGGGATAAGGGTTCAGGGTTAAGGGTCAGGGGTTTAAGGTCAAGGGCTTAGGGCTTAGGGCTTGGGGTTTAGGGTTTAGGGCTATCCTCATGCTCTTGCCTCTCCCTTTCTCAGAGTTACGGATAGCCGAGCAGTCCGGGATCTATGCTTCCGAGTGGCGACTGTGCTCTGCCATATCCCGGCGAATCTGGAAACCCTAAACCCTAAACCCCAAAGGGTTTAGGGTTTAGGGTTTGGGGTTTAGGGAACCCTAAAGTCCAAACCCCAAAAGTGGGAATACTCATCCACGAGTCACAAACCCGAGGCACTGGTGAAACCCGGATTCTGAACCCTAAACCCCTGCAATACTGCGACACCCTGAACTTTTCAGCTTTCCTGCAAATCGAAACTGTTCACTGCTACTTGCTGAAGAACTCCCCCCCCCAAACAAATATATATATGTATAGGAATAGGACAATGTAGGGAGTACCATCTTGTTTTTTTTTTTTTTTTTTTTTGGGGGGGGGGGGGGGTCTTGAGCTTGGTAGCACAGTAACCATATTCTGATAAGGGCACCCTTTTTTGGGGCAAAAAAGGGGACAAGGGTACCACTGGGCTACCAAGTAAGCAGAAGAATTTACGAGCTGATCTGCACTCAAAGGGGTCAGTGAAGACCGGAGTTGGGCTTGGGATGGACACTGGTTCGAGTTTAGGGTTTAGGGGTGAGGAGGGTGCAAGTTCGGGCCTTGCCGCCCGCAACCAAACAGCCCCAGGAAGTATAGGGGTGCCTCTGACTGCAAACACCCCAACATGCTCGCAAGGAAAAATATGAAATGTCCTTCGGGGCCTAGCTAGATACTCTACCCCTTAATTAAAAGAAGGCACGAGTATAGCAACCCCTAAACCCTAAACCCTGAACCCTTAGCCCTGAACCCTAAACCATAAGCCCTAAGCCCGAAACCTTACAAACTTGCAAAGTGCACCTCTAGGCAACCCTACATCCTAAACCCGGGTTTGAGGTTTTAGGGGCCCCTTGCCCTGAGCCCTAAAGAACCCTACACCGGCAGTTCAAAGCTTTGCCCACTCGGATGGAAAGTCAGCCACCAGAAGAGACCCTTCAACTCAGAACGCAAGCTCAACTACTGCGTTTCGGGCCGTTGAGGGTTTGAACCCTAAACCGTAAACCCTAAACCCTAAACCCTAAACCCTAAACCCTAAACCCTAAACCCATCTTCCTGGACTTCCTCGTAATTCAAGGGCAGTTGCCTTGTATTGTTGCCAGGGCGTAAGGGAGTTGGCATGACACACTTGCATAGCATGTTGCTTGGTGGCCGAAAGGATCCAAGAGCTTTATCTTTCAGGTGCGAAACCCTCTTGCGATTTAGCGCATAATGTAAACGCAAGTGCAAAACTAAGACTGCTAGCCCGCAAGCAGCTCTCAACCCAACCACCCTGTCGAATGTCCCTTCAGGTAGCTGTGGATGCATGGGGCTGCGATCTTGTGCGCTCTTCCCGGCAAGCCAAATTCAAATGCTTTGCAGACTGTCAGGGAGGTCTTGTGCGCGATGCCCCGTGATTTGTGTGCGAGACTCTAGCCCTAAACCCTAAACCCTAAACCCTAAACCCTAAACCCTAAACCCTAAATGACTTGTACCTTAGGGTAGCGCGCAGCCTGGAGGCGCAGAGGCAACGCAGCTGCTCTGGCCGCTTGTATAACAAGACGGAGGGAGCAGGAGCCGGCGGGGCGTTTGCAAGTGGGGACTGTTCCAATGATCTTCGGGTTTAGGGTTTAGGGTTTAGGGTTTAGGGTTTAGGGTTTAGGGTTTAGGGTTTGGGGTTTAGGGCTTAGGGTTTAGGGACTTAGGGTTTAGGGTTTAGGGTGTTGGGTTTGAGGTCTTGGGTTTAAGAGTTGAGGCCTTGGGGTTTTGAGGTTCGCGGTTTGGGGCTAAGGGCTGAGGCCTTATCCATCCTTATCCCCAACAGCATGCCTCAAAATCCTAAAGCCCTAAATTGCGGAGTGCAGGGCCCTAAAGTCCCAACCCTAAACGCCAAACACTGAGGGCTACTTAGGGTTTAGGGTTTAGGGTTTAGGGTTTAGGGTTTAGGGTTTAGGAACAATCCCCAAGAGCCAGGACGAGGTCGGGGCGGCCTACCATTGGCAGGGCGCTGGCTTGCACAACCCAGCTCGAGCTTAGATGAGCCCTGCGGTTTAGGGTTTGGGGTTTTGGGCTAAGGGTTTAGGGGTAGGGTTTAGGGTTTAGGGTTTAGGGTTTAGGGTTTAGGGTTTAGGGTTTAGGGTTTAGGGTTTAGGGTTTAGGGTTTAGGGTTTAGGGTTTAGGGTTTAGGGTTTAGGGTTTAGGGTTTAGGGTTTAGGGTGTAGGGTTTAGGGTGTAGGGTTTAGGGTTTAGGGTTCAGGGTTTAGGGTTTCGAGGTTTAGGGTGTAGGGTTTAGGGATTAAGGCATCCTTCCGTCAGGCTGATCGAGTTGATCGGGCTTCGGGTAGCAACTTCCCAACGCAGAAGGAAACTGAGTTGGCCCATTCGGGTATGCAGGATACCCATGGTAGTTTTCAATGTTGAGTACGTAGGGTATGCTGAATATGAGAGATAGGGGCAATCGGAGAATGGGGTTTAGTTGGAGACTAAGACCCCTGGGCGCATCTAGACGGCCTTGGTCACAGGGATCGACTACTCCTCACTCAGTTGCGCCACGGTCGACGCCAACGATTCACAGGAGGCCTGAGGGGGCAGTTCCAAATACTCTGCGGCAGGCTGAATACAACTGGTGAGCCCCTCTAAACCCTAAACCCTAAACCCTAAACCCTAGGCCCTAAACCCTAAACCCTAAACCCTAAACCTAAACCCTAAACCCTAAACCCTAATCAGTATGAACTTTCCATGGGTCCTATGGCTTATATGTGTAGGCGGCGAAAATGGGATATAGGCCCGCCGAACTTGGAGCAGCACCTCTCCAAATCAACCCCAGATAGGGTTTGGGGTTTAGGGTTTAGGGTGTAGGGTTTAGGGTTTAGGGCTTAGGGTTTAGGGTTTGGGGTTTACGGTTTCAACAGCTTATGACATGAGCTGCAGAGTTCGGTCGTCCAAGCCCCTGGCAACTGGCACCACCTGCTTTGGCGAGGGCTTAATGTTTAGGTTTTAGGGTTTTTTGGTTTTAGGGGTTTAGGGTTTAGGGGTTGAGGGTTGAGGGTTCCAGGGTTTAGGGTTTAAGGTTTAGGGTTTATGGTTTAAGGTTTAGGGCTTGGGGTTGAGGGCTGAGCTAAGGTTTAGGGTTGAGGGTTTAGAGTTTAAGGCTTAGGGCTTAGGGTTGAGGAAGTCCTTGCATTGGACATGAGTATGATAAACTTTTTCATAAGCCTTCAAGCCTCTAAACTAAACCGACACCCTAAGCCTAAGGGTACATTATAAACCCACATGGCCCGCAAAGCCATGGCCAAAGCCCATAGCCTATGCCGCCTATGCGCTGAACCCCAAAACGTAACAATGCCCACGCACACACTGTAGTGTAGTGTAGTCTAGTGTGTAGTGTGTAGTGTAGTGTGTAGTGTAGTGTATGGTGTAGTGTATAGTGTAGTGTATAGTGTATAGTGTAGTGTGTAGTGTATAGTGTGTAGTGTGTAGTGTGTAGGGTGTAGCGTGTAGTGTGTAATGCGCTGAAACCCTGGCAAGGGATGAGAGGTAAGGAGCAGCTCAAATATTGAACTGCAACAAAAAGCAATGGCATTGTTATTGGCTCTGTGGTTTCCTCGGTACGGTCATGGAGCTGTTGAGGTTCTGCGCCTTAAAACCTAAACCCTAAACCGTGAATGGGCATGACATGTTGGAGGCAAGAAAGTAGCAGCTAAAGCAGGCGCAGCACGACACGCCGTTACTTGCTGTCTGCCATGGGCAGTTATCGAAATTGATACCCTTTTGGTGCTCCGATTGCTATACGAAACTTTGTACACAGGTGACAACAAAACCAGACCCTGAACCCTAGACCCAACTGGGCTTAGGGTTTAGGGGTTCAGGGGCTTAGGGGCTTAGGGTTTAGGGGTTTAGGGGTTTAAGGGTTTAGGGGCTTAGGGGCTTAGGATTAGCCGCTTCGGGGTTAGGGGTTTAGGAGTTTAGGATTACAGGGCTAAAACCCGCTGTTTAGGGGTTTAGGGGTTTAGGATTGTAGGTTTAGGGTTTAGGGTTTACGGCTTAGGGTTTAGGGTTTAGGGTCGCCGGACCTGGATGGAGATGCGTCCACTGCTCGCGGCCGGGGACTCGAGTGGGCATGGGCATTTGACTGTGCCTGGTCCGGGGCTTGCGAAACCCTAAACCCAAAACCCTAAACCCTAAACCCTAAACAGCACCGGTGAAGAGTAGGATTTGGGGTGGAAGGTGTACTACAGGGGCTTAATAATTAGAATAGGGGTTTGGGGCTTACAGTAGCATAGTTACAAAGGGACCATAAGGGAATACTGTTCGTAATACTTCCGACCCATAACCCTAAACTGTTAAACCCTAAACCGATAAACCCTAAACCCTAAACCCTAAACCCTATATTCGGGTCTCGGGCAAAGTTTGGTGTTTGGGCTTGCCGAGAGGCCCGTTGTCGCACACCGAGTGCGACCTCTACTCTAGGCCTCTGAGGGTCGTTTCCGCAAGGTTTAGGGTTTAGGGTTTAGGGTTTAGGGTTTAGGGTTTAGGGTTTAGGGTTTAGGGTTTAGGGTTTGGGGTTTAGGGTTTAGGGTTTAGGGTTGAGGGTTTAGGGTTGACCCTAAACCCTAAACCCTAGCTCTAAACGCAAAGTCCTGACCCCTATGTCATGGCTCCCCTACTACCCCCTCGGCTCCCCTAGAATCAAGGCGACCTAGGGAGAATTAAGCCCTAAACCCTAAACCCTAACCCTAAACCCTAAACCCTAAACCCTAAACCCTAAACCCTAAACCCTAAACCCTAAACCCTAAACCCTAAACCCTAAACCCTAAACCCTAAACCCTAAACCGTGGCCCTCCTTCAGTCCAGCAACTGCCTCTGCGGTCGCGGAGGCAGGCCATGACTGACACCAGGGCCTCGTCGCCAGCGTCTAGGGCTTAGGGGTTTAGGGGTTTAGGGCTTAGGGTTTGGGGGGGGTTTAGGGGTTTGGGGTTTAGGGTTTAGGGCCAGTTGAGGGGCTTTAGGGGCCTAGGGGTGTGGGGGTTTAGTGTTGCGGGCTGAGGGTCCGAACCCTAAAACCTAAACCCTAAACCCTAAACCCTAAACCCTAAACCCTGAAGCGGGTGGGTTGTAAGCTCCAATTTTCAGGTCTCAAGGTCAACACGCAGGGGCTCTCGGCTCCCGCCCCCCCCAAGAAAGTAGCCCTAAACCCTAAACCCTAAACCCTAAACCCCTAAACCCTAAACCCTAAACCCTAAACCCTAAACCCTAAACCCTCTTCTACCCCAACATGCCCTCTCTGTTTGGACCAGACCAGCGAGAGCGCCCAGCAGGATCGGGGGAAGCTTGCTAAGCCGAGACATCTACCCCTGAAACCCCTTTTGAAGCCCTTACAAAAACCCGTAAAAACCCTTAAACACCCTCAAAAACCCTAAAAACCGTTAAAACACCCTAACAAAACCCACCCCTAAAACCCCTTAAAGCCCATTGCAGTGTTTATGGCGCCCTGGGGAGTGTGCCCTAAGCAAGCCCCATCATCCCAGCAGGTTAAGCAAGGGGCCGCCACCGCAGCCACGCCCGCCAGGAGCGAGGGAACCAAGAGGCGGCCCGCCTCAAAAGGTAGGGTTCAGGCTTCAGGGTTCAGGGTTCAGGGTTCAGGGTTTAGGGTTTAGGGTTTGGGGTTTAGGGTTTGGGGTTTAAGGTTTAGGGTTTAGGGTTTAGGGACTAGGAATTAGGGGTATGGGGGTTTAGGGTTTCTGGTTTAGGGGTTTAAGTGGTTTAGGGGTTTAGGGCTTAGGGTTGAGGGCCCACAGCCACCCACCACACAAGGAGAGGGAGAGGGAGATAGCTAAAAGACATCTGGAAAAATGCACATATATGTATGCGCAAGAGATGTATGTGTCTATATGTGATGTCTACATATATGACGAAGACACAGCGCAGGGGAGGCTTTGGAAGGAAATGAATAGTAAAGTCAAGGCGATGCTCCGGGGGAAAGTTGATAGGTTCGGCAAGTTTAGCAGGGATCAAGAGCTTGGTGTTTTGGGGATCGAAAGTGGCCACGCTCCTTGAGATTCACGCTTTGCTTCTGTGTATTGGGAATATGCTTGATGGTGTTGCTCTCAGACTCGTCTGGTCTGACTCTTCCCACTCAGGCCGCAACAGCTTCTTCATCCTCGGTGTCGCCAAGCTCTGCCTGACGAAAGGACAGGCAAACTTTAACTACCTGAAGCTCTAAACCCCAACCCCCTTAACCCCTTAACCCCGCACCCAAACTTTCAAACCGAGGTCACTAGGGTTTAGGGTTTAGGGTTTAGGGTTTAGGGTTTAGGGTTTAGGGTTTAGGGTTTACCTATCCCCGACATAGCCATAAGGTAGGTTCCCTTTGATTTTACGAGTAATTCCACGTTGAAAGAGACTTTGCTTCACAATGGTCACTCTCTTTAAGAGACCTTTAAACTTTAGAACAACCTTAACCCCTGAGCCCCAAAACCCAAAACCCTACAGCCCCCATGGAGACTCCGAGGAAAAAAACGGAACCCGACAAAGGAGAACAACACAAACACGTTCTCCCAAGTACCTGGTTGATACCTCCTCCCCCCACAGACCAAAGCTTACATGTAGACAGACACAATATTAGAATTAGGGCTATATGATGTAGGGTAAATATTTCTCGTATCCCCAAAAAGGACACCCAAGGTATACACTCACCAATTTTCAGAAAGGAACCTTATACACCCTCACCAATAAACAGGAATATGAACCCTACTTCATATGGGGTGGCCAGACTACGAAGCCTAAGACCCTAAACCCTAAACCCTAAACCCTGAACCCTAAACCCTAAACCCTAAACCCGAAACCCTAAACCCTAAACCCTAACCGAGACCCACAAGCCCGGGCGAAGGGGCCTCGCCAGGAAACCGCTCGAAGGCCAAGTCGCCTTCATAGCCTGGTGTTGAGAGCTTTCCCTTTACCCTTTGCCCGAAACCCTGTTTAGGGTTTAGGGTTTAGGGTTTAGGGTTTAGGGTTTAGGGTTTAGGGCCCTAAACCCTGAGGTTTGAGCCCAAGGTCTAGAGTTTGGTCGGGTCTTGGGGTTAAGTCCTACGTCGCAGGTGGAGTTCGTCGACCTACGCCCGAAATCCCCATATTCACAGCCGCACATATGTACATGCCATCCCTCCAACCTTCCTAAATCTACTGGCCCTGGCAGCCCGAAACATTCCTAACTATGCTCTTCTTAGCCCCAAGAATGACGACGAAAAAAATGTCCAAAGGCCCCTAGCTTCAAACGTGTACCCTGTAAACCTTAAACTCCAAGCCTTAGTTTCGGTACTGGTCCAACCCTAAGCTCTCAACCCTTAGCCCTAGGTTCAAAAATCCTCAAGGACTCCAAGTGTGCTTGCGCTGGATAAGGAGATGGAAGTCAAACACATTGGGGCTTAGGGTTAGAGGATTTGGGGTTCAGGGTTTTTAGGGGTTCGGGGTAGAGCATGCGTTGTTTAGGCTTTCGAGGGTTTATGGCTGAGGGTTTGGAGTTTAGGGTTAAGGTTTGAGGAGTCACGGCTTAGGATGATTTACATTCGAGATAGGGATTGGACCTTTTTCGGGGTGGTCTGGGCTGAGCACGAAGGGATCTCAAGAGTTCGCGGCTGCTAAGGGATCTCAATTTTCCGGGCTACTGCTTGGGAAGTCATGTCAACCCTAAACCCTAAACCCTGAACCCTAGTTAAACCCTACACCCTAGACCGCCTAAACCCTAATTAAACCCTAAACCCTACACCCGAAACCGCTTAGAAGTGTCCAGGAAGACAATATCAGTCCAGGGACCTCCTGCATACACAGGGGCTGTTGTTGCTGTGCTTGGGTCTTCGAGCTAAACCCTACGCAGCACTCTAATCCCTAAACAGTTAGGGTTTAGGGTTTAGGGTTTAGGGTTTAGGGTTTAGGGTTTAGGGTTTAGGGTTCAGGGTTTAGGGTTTAGGGTTTAGGGTTTAGGGTTTAGGGGGGGCCCTAAACCCTAAACCCAAACCTTGGGATGCTGGGCATGCGACTGAGCAGACGTCGTTTTGGCTTCCACGTCCGCGGCACAACCTGAGTCGGGAGGGCAAGAAGGGCAAATGCTCAGGGGCTCTACCCCCCAACTCTCAAAAAGGCTTAGGGTTTAGGGTTTAGGGTTTAGGGTTTAGGGTTTAGAGTTTCGGGTTTAGGGTTTAGGGTCTAGGGGTGGTCTGATCCCCCAACTCTGCACCCTTGTAGGGTTTAGGAGTTAGGAGTTTAGGGTTGAGGGCCTCAACAAGACACCTATAAACACCCCGGAAAACCCTAAACCTCAAGCGCGCAAAACTGTCAGGGAGCGGCACGAAAGACTCCTTCCACTCCAAACTGTGCTAAATTAGCTCTCGCTTCTTTCGAGATCCTCCTCTCAGACCCATCCCCCCAAACCTAGACCCTAAACCCTTACTAGAGCTGTACAGTTCCCTTTGAGCCTCAGCCCCAAACCCTTCAACTGAAGACGGGAGCTTCGGAGTTTCAGACGTACCCTCATACTCTAGGGTTTAGGGTTTAGAGGGTTTATGCACTACAAGACCATGTAATTTAGAATACAAGACGACAAGGAGTTTATGACGCGTGCATTTGTATTGGAGATGTTGGGCTTCTGCAAGTGGACATGAGGTAGAACTGCCGCCGGACGCTATTATTAACCCAGCTCGCAGTGAAATCTCCTTCCCGTGAAATCTTCTCTCTGTTCCTTTCCTTCGTTCCATTCTGACTTGACTTGCAAGGAAACGTGAAGTCATGAATGTCGAACGAAAGGAAAAACACAAGGGGAAAAAGCCTCACTAAACCATGACTAAAGGCACGTGCATTCTTTACCGCCGTTTTCATACTATGTTAATGTGGGCTTTTCGGAAATCCGGAAGGTTAGACAGGAGGTTGGGGTCCGGAGGTAAGAGCCCGGACCAGCACACGCATCCTTATTGTGCCCCAGAAAGACCATGTTAATCATAAGAAAACAAAAATGTAATGCATGAGTTTACTGTACTGAAGGCCCGTGTAAAGCACATTCGAACATGGGTTTAGCCGTAAGTGAATGAGTGCTTCTAAACCTAATTAATCTTGTACAATCTTGGCAGCAAAAAACCCCTAAGTCCCTTTTGTCTTTGTCCTTTTGCTCGGATATCGGCTTCTTAATGGAAGTCATATCGCTAACTAAGTGAACACATGGGCAAATGATCCGTCCGAACGAGCCTCTATTAGACCGCTCTCGGGCTTTTTTCAGGAACAAATGATCGCTACATTCTCAAAATTATATTGAGTTCATGAATCCTTGATTTCCAAGAGAGAAAACCGAAGGAAAGAGGAAATAGTATGTGATTGCCTGAAAGAACTAGTACAAAGCGCTTGCACGATTCTTCCATTTCGTTTGCCCACTCACGGTATGATATTGTTTTAATGGGTACGAAGTGAGCACAGAAAGCGGGGATTAATTCTTGCAAGATTGGATCTCTCACTTCGTAGGCCAAAAGACTATGTCATAGCTACTACCAGATGCTGACGAACTATTTGTTCATCGATATTATATAAGACCAAAGAAAGAACCAAGTGTAGGCAGCTGATGAACTATTCATGCATTAGACCCTCGAATCTGAGTGACTAAATATTAGGGAATATAGGGTTTCGGGATTCGGGTTTTGGGCCCCTCTATCTATACCCCACATGTGACTTTAAGTGACCCCATATATGTTAGAGGCCCATACTGTACCCTTCGATATACGACGCTCTAAACCCCAATAAGCAGGTACCTTTCAGCCCTCTTCCGGAGGACAATTCCAATTTCAGGAGGGGCCAAATGCACCCCTGAAGAGGAGGAGACAAAACCCTAAACCCTAAACCCCATTATGAACCCGAAACGTCCCGACCCTGCTCCCCCCCTGAGGGTTTCCAGGGCTTCTGGGGGCTCTCTCAAAGACTCAGGGCTTACCTCCCTAGGCAAACCCCAAACCCCAAACCCTAAACCCTAAAGGAGGGAAGGCTGGTCGATTACCCTCGAAGACGGAAAAGGGTACTGCTGGGCATCCGCGAATACCCATGATCCCAAACCCGAAGCCCGAAACCCCAAACCTCAAACCCTAAACCCCAAACCTCGAACCCTCAACCCCAAACCCTAAACCCCAAACACCTAAACCCTAAACTCCAAACCCTAAGCCCCAAAAGCTCCTATTCAACGAGGTCCGCAGCTGAGGGCCTGGCACACTCAGGCTTGCTTTCGGCCAGGCGTTCAGGGGTGCCCGCAAGCGTGGCAGCACCTCGGGGTTTCGGGGTTTAGGGTTTAGGGTTTAGGGAGGGTTTAGGGTTTAGGGTTTAGGGTGTAGGGTTCAGGGTGTAGGGTTTAGGGGTTTAGGGTTTAGGGCTTGGGGGTGTTGGTTTAGGAGGGTTGGGGTTTAAGATGTAGGGTGTAGGGTTTAGGGTTTGGGGGGTTTAAGGCTTAGGGCTTAGGAGGGTTGAAGTTTGGGGGTTTAGGGTGTAGGGATTAGGAGTTAGGGCTTTGCAGGGTTTGGGGTCGCGGACCTGCAGGGTTTGGGGTTGGGTTTAGCGGTTTAGGGTTTAGGGGTTACGGGCCCTTCGATGTCTTCGAGAGTTTAGGGGTATAGGGCTGCACGGGGTTCAGGGTTTCAGAACCGACGCGTAACCCATGGGCTCCCTCAATAGTCAATAGGGTTTAGGGTTTAGGGTTTCGGGCAACCCCCCCAGGGTTTATAGGGTTTAGGGTTTAGGGTTTAGGGTTTAGGGTTTAGGGTTTAGGGTTGAAAAAACACAAGCGCTCTCTTTTCTACCCTGTGTCGTGGTGCCCCGGGGGCTCCTTGCGCGCCCGGGGCCGCGGTCGGCCTACCAACACCTTCCGTGAAAGCACGACGGGTCGTCGTCATGCATGGTTTTTAGGGATAGTTTAGGGTTTAGGGTTTAGGGTTTTAGGGTTTAGGGTTTAGGGTTTAGGGTGTAGGGTTTAATTCGTGGTACTGTCTTGGGGTCCTTGCTATCAAGGAATCCTGCTCTTTGGGGGGCTAGATGAGTGGTTCCTGCACGGTAAACCCCCAACATGGACATGAGGACCCTCCAAGGGATATCGTAGAGTTCAGGATGCTGCAAGTGCCCTAAACCCTATCACCCTGAACCCTAAACCCTAAACCCAAGACCCTAAACCCTGAACCAGTCCTGGGATGAACTCTGGGCATGCCGAGGTGCGTTGGGGTGAGGCTTTAAGGCTTGAACTTCGGGTTTAGGGTTTAGGGTTTAGGGTTTAGGGTTTAGGGTTTAGGGTTTAGGGTTTAGGGTTTAGGGGGCTACAAGGGGGGTAGGTACTTAGGGAACCTTTTGTCAGCTTAGGGGCCTTAGGGAGTAGTGGGGAGTAGTGGGGAGCACTAGGGAACATTGGGTTGCATAGCCAACTTGAACTCCTAGGTTTAGGGTTTAGGGTTTAGGGTTAGGGTTTAGGGTTTAGGGTTTAGGGTTTAGGGTTTAGGGTTTAGGGTTTAGGGTTTAGGGTTTAGGGTTTAGGGTTTAGGGTTTAGGGTTTAGGGTTTAGGGTTTAGGGTTTAGGGTTTAGGGTTTAGGGTTTAGGGTTTAGGGTTTAGGGTTTAGGGTTTAGGGTTTAGGGTTTAGGGTTTAGGGTTTAGGCTTTAGGGTTTAGGGTTTAGGGTTTAGGGTTTAGGGTAGGTCCCTATACATGACCTAAGGTTCCAACCCTGGAACTCGCCTTCAGTTCTTAAACCATCGCCTTTGGACAAACGCCCCGCTGTTCGTGCACTGGTAGGGACACCAGATCAAAAGGGTACTCCGCCCCAGGTCCGCGACTTCTCAGATATTTTTCGATAGCAACAGCTGTCAAGGGACTCTAGACCCTAAATCCTAAACCCTAAATCCTAAACCCGACGACCATCCCGACTTTAGGGATGCGGTCACGAAGTCGCAAGAGAGCTCAGAAGCATACCGCCCGAGCCGGACCTTGCTGGGTGCGTAGTGCGTGGCCAGGAGCTATCCTAGTGGGAATCCCCTTTCCATCCCCACAAATGCACGGAAAAAGGGCCAACCATGTCCGGGGGGTGGGCGAAGAACCTTGTCCGAAGCTCCATCACGGTCTCTCCTCTACTCTCGCCGCCTTCTTTCCAGAGCTACATATGCTTCAGGACTCAGATTCCCCAGCGACCACCCCCCGTCTACACCAGCTACGGCAAGAAAAAACAAGACATGTAACACACATTCCCAGGATTCCTCCGGCCACGAAGTCGACGGGTGCCAGACTCCAGTGCTGGTCTGTGCGGATCCTGCTGTTCTTGGTAGCCCAGTAACCATATTATAATAAGGGCAGCCTTTTTTGGGTTGGGTATTTTATAAGGGAACCCTAAACCCTAAACCCTAAACCCTAAACCCTAAACCCTAAACCCTAAACCCTAAACCCTAAACCCTAAACCCTAAACCCTAAACCACTGGGCTACCAAGGGCTGTTTGCAAAAGCTTCGACGGCAAATCCCGGGCGTCGCAATGGGATCCTCTGGAAAGCAGAAGGACTCCCGGGCCACAGCGCACAGAGAGTTGGGTCAGAGTGAATGTTCTGCTCAGGGTTTAGGGTTTAGGGTTTATAAGGTTTAGGGTTTAGGGTTTAGGGTTTAGGGTTTAGGGTTTGGGGAACTGTAGGAGTTTGGTTGCAGACATGGGCGCGTCCCCGCAGCTCGACATCTTCGGAAGAGCATGGGTGGGAACTCACGCCCAAGGCAGGATGCAACTGGAGTCGGCAAGAAAGATCAGAGCAGCCTGACTTTGGGGGGACATGCAGCACTCCAACGCGTATCAGCTCGGGGTGTTACTGCAAGATAGCCCCTGCACAAACCGCTCTTCGGCGATGTTTGACTGTGGCAGCAGTGATGCGCACTCCCTAGTGCCCGGGTCTAGCCATTCTAGAAAGAATAGCAACAACCATAGCCATAACTGGTACAAGAACAGGAATTAGGATGCTAAAAACAGAAACAACAACTGGAAACACAAAAAAGACAAGAAAATCATACTGTTAGTAATTCTGTTGCCTTAGCCTTCAAACACAATAACACATCGTGGGCAATCGACCAAGTGGCTTTGCACATTGCTGGAACGAGATCGGGCGGAGAAGCAAATCCCCGCCCGCTTAAAATGTTGCGGGCTGGCACACATCTGTGTGACTTTGTGCGTGCATCAGCCCAACTCCCACCAGTGCCACGTGCAATGGTCCGCACGGACGCTGCCAGAGACTGCCACTAGGGGCTTGTCAAAAAACACATCACTGCTTCACCTGCAACAGGCAACTAACCCCGACACTGCGAGGGACACTAAGAAAACAGCGCACCTAAACCCCAAACCGAACCCCAACCATAGCATCAACAAACTAAGAACTCAGAGCTCCTCCGGTAGACGGCAACTAAGAGGTCACCATACTAACGTTTAGGGTTTGGGTTGAGGGTGCAGAAGCCCCAGCAACCCAAAACAACTGACGCACGAACATGCACCACTCTCGACGCATCCATGCAAGCGAACAGTGAAGTGTATGCACGACTTAGCAAAAGCACGAAGTGTGTGCACTGATAGGGTTCAGGGTTCGGGTTTTAGGGCATAGGGTTTGGGACTGAGGGTCGCTACCCCGAAGGGCAGAGGGGCTTTGGGTCCTGGGACTTGGAGGTTCATGGGTTGTGATAAGTTCTAAGTACGGTAACTATACTTATAACTCTAGTTAGGGGACTTCTAACCCTAACTATAGCTACCCATGAACCCTAAACCCTAAACCCTAAACCCTAAACCCTAAACCCTAAACCTCCAAGTAGGGTTGCGGGTTCAGGTTTTCACGTCTCTCCTCTTGCTGGAAAGACACTCCGTCGGTGCAGTAGGCTTTCGCACACCTGCAGCTCGGCTAGGCCGTAGAGGGTTTGGGTCACAAGAAGTGACCGCCCTAAACCCTAGCCCTAAACCCTAAACCCTAAACCCTAAACCCTAAACCCTAAACCCTAAACCCTAAACCCTAAACCCTAAACCCTAAACCCTAAACCCTAAACCCTAAATGTTCTTGACTTCGCTTCGAAATTGGTGGGTGATGAGAAGGCATTATAAGGCATCTTTCATGGGCAAAGGAACCTAAGTCGGAAGAAAAAAGGATACTCGAACTCGGAAGGCAAAAGAATATAGTGTGGGAGTTGCCAAACCATTCGAGGTACCTTATTGGGGTCCTGCTTGTAAGGGAATCCTACAATTTGGGGTCAAATTAGGGGTCCCTTGTTTTCGTAAACCCCCATATTCGAAAGCGCTCTCCCAAAATTCTGTTGACCCTAAACCCTAAACCCTAAACCTTAAACCCTAAACCCACAATTGACGGCGCACCGGATGAGATGAGCCACAGTTGAACCGCGAGAGCAAAACGATCTGTACCACTGGCAGCATTTGCAGAAAGTACCAACACCTCTAATTACCCTGAACCCTAAACCCTACACCTTAAACCCGAAACCTAAACCCTAAATCCTAAACCCTAAACCTTACACCCTAAACCCCAAACCCGAAACCAGGTCTGAACAAGTGGCCCTAGCGCAACGACTAAGCACCCGAAGCTGGAAGGAGACCAACAAAGATACCATCCCAAAACCAGGTAGGCCACATAAAAGTCCCCGTGAACCTGCGAACCTAAGCCCTAAACCCTAAACCCTAAACCCTAAACCCCTGAAGAGGCTTATGGGTTTGCGGTGAACGACCTAGGACTTGAACTCCAAAAGCAGAAACGCTTGCGCTGCCATCGAGTGACTGTCCAACGAGGTATCGTACCCAAGCCTGAAGGCGGGTTCAGGGTTCAGGGTTTCGGGTTCAGGGCTTAGGGTGTCTAGGGTTTAGGGCTAGGCCTGAAAGTGGGCTTCGAGGTGGAGGTTGCTCATACCCTAAGCGCCTAAACCTTCCATCCTCAATCCCTAAACCAACATGCCTGAGCCGCGCGCAAACAAGCAATGCTACTCAAAACCCCTAAGCCCCCTAAATTTTAAACCCTATACTGGCCTATACTGTAACCCTAAGCCCCGAAGCTCCTAAGCCCCAAGCTTCCCCGAAACCACAAGCCCTGAGCCCCAAACTCTAAACCCAAAAATCAACAGATATCAAGATTCTACGGAGCATCGACTTCCCTCCCTTCTAAGAAACGCCACGTAAGTCAGCCCTCGTGAGCACCAAAGCCTTTTTAGACCTGATAAGGGCTTAGGGTCTGTAGGGTTTAGGGCTCTTGGCTTGGGGCGTTTGGGGTTTTATGTTT